AGGAAGGAGGGAAGGAAGGAAGGAAGGAAGGAAGCAATCAAGCAAGCAAACAAATATTTTACTTGGATAGTTTCAATTATTATTATTATTATTATTATTATTATATAAATAGCAATATTTTATCTTTGGAAGGAAGGAAGGGAGGAAGGAAACAAATAAATATTTTACGTTAATTTGATATTATCATCATCATCGGAATGAATAACTGCTATATATTATTATTTATTATTGAAATAAATAAATGTTACATTTTTGCATCAGTCAGTGTCCAGTACTAAACAACTGCCTAACTAATGAAACTTACAAAGTGTGTTAGCCTCACAATAACTGTTGATATTACAAAATGTCCAGTAACCTAAAAATGCTAAATTATCATCCTTCAGACACTGACTATAAATTGAGAAGATTGCATCCCAATCATAAAGCCCCCAAGTAACACATAAATATGTAAAACAAGAGACATGTCATTTAAAAAGTTGGGGAGCAAAGTCCCAGACGTCCATAAATAAAGATCTGGCCCTGACTCAGTTTGGCTCAGGAAAAATGATGTGACTTTAGATGGGCAGCTGCAGCGCTGCTGAGCTTTTAATTAACTCGTGAGCACTGTAGGCCGCAGTCACCTCCATTAATCACTTATTTTTCTTGTCTGCAGGAATCACGAGTGCACACGCGGCGCAGCTAAACCTGAACATATGCTTCCGGCTGTGTTATTAGCCAAGTGCCCAGCGACCAGCCTCTCTGAACTTCAGCTCTTCCTTTAAGATAATTTCCTCTCGTGTTCGTCTTTGAGTTACTGACACTCATTAGCACAAACAAAGTACATGAGAACATTAATCTTTCATGGCAGACTTGACTTTCGGGATGTAATTTAATTGTCTCCTGGACATGCAAGTTATTAAATGAGTTTCTTCTGATGTAGCCCCAAACTTTTAAAAAGGTTACCTTTAAAGTGAGCAGAGGGAATGTATCAAACTAGGACACATTACTTAAATACACGTTCAGATTTTTAGTGTTCAGCGTTTTAGCATTTTTTTTATATCTCTAAAATATAAAATCTGTTTAAATAACATACACGAAATCCGTCATCAGGTGGTTCCATTACAGATTTGCACAAAACTTTTGTGATATTTTAAAAATGTCAATAAAAAAATTGCAAAATGACAGCATTTCCATTAACCGATGTTATGCGACAAAAATTTTTTACTCTCGCAATAAGTCCGGTGTTGGTAGGTTTATGAATATCGCAGCCATTACGCTAGCCATTTTTTTTAATCGAAGGAGACGTAGACATTTATCTTTATCAAATAAAACGTGGCATGGCATGGCTGGTATAAACACAAGAATTGACTAGAGTGGCCACAATCAGCTCTGGTGGCCGTGTCGGAGCCGTAATGCGCTGCAGACTTGTGCAGTGTAAATAAGGGGTTATTCAAGCATTAATGGCAAGGAAAGCCCCTTATACTTGAGAGCAGCCACATATGAAGTGTTTCTTGGGGGTTGTAGTACATTAACCCTCTGGGGTCTGAGGGTATTTTGGGGCCCTGGAAAAGTTTTGATATGCCCTGACATTTGTGTTTTTTTTCAGTATCTTAAAAACATATTAACGGCATATTAAAGTCTGATAACACTGTAATCAGCACAAACTGGGCTACAATAATATGTGAGCAGCATGAATGTACATGTTTGTGTTTTTGAGAAAACAACGTTTATGCGTGGCTAGTGAAAAACTACAATTTTGAAGTCACTGAAATAAGGCCATAAAACACATACAGAATATTTGTTCACAAGACTTTTGAGAACTGAATGTGGTAGACTAGAGTTTTTGCTACAAAATGATGAAAATTATCCTGTTCACTCATTCACAGAAAACAATATATTGATTCAACTTTTGTAAGACATGATTTGTGTTAGAATGGTATATGCGAGGGAGTGACAATGGCCATGAATATTTAGTGATTCGCACCTGAGAGACAAAGGGCCATCATGGGCCATCAATATGAATGTGACTGAGGCAGGTAAGAAAGAGTGTGAGGAGAGTAAAATAACGTGGGTTTTGGATTATTTGTATTATTATTTGTCTTTTATTTACAACACAGTATAATAAAAATATACACAGTGAAGGTCAAGGACACATGATTACAATAACAACTGATGCATGTAATCTTAGGCTACTCATCAGAGTGATATGCTCCACTGGATCCAGCTGCGCGACACATCGCCTTGTGTTCTTCTTCGGAGGTAAATTCTGGGTTATTCCTCTCGGCGCGTCTTCTTCCAGAAACAAAGTAATGAGCTCTTCAAGTTTGTTTACGGATGATGTGGGCGTTTACATGCGCACGCGTCTCACGTGGATGTTTAGAATTTGAAAAGCGCGACCGGTGACGTGGGCGTGATCGCATTAGAGATAATGAGTTTAGACGGGAAAAACTGGACGTTGCGTTGGTTTCATACGGATTACTTTATCAGAGAATATTTGTTTTGGATGTGACTATTTAAAAGTAGACATTTCAAGCTTTATGCATATGTTTCTCATGTCTTTGAGGCAAGCATTCGCTGAGATTCAGGTTGTTTAATTTACGAAGGACACATGATTGAACATACTGATCTGAACATTGAGACTTGAACATTAACACACCTTTGTGCCAAACATTCATAGACTCTAATATCATTCATAGTGTTAACACTCATTCTACTTTTATATCTTGTGGTTTTATATGTTATAAAACATTAAACAAACACCCTGGCTAGGGCTGCAAGATTAATTGCATGCGATATTTAACGCGCATCTTATCAGTAAAGCCGGTTCTGCGACACATCGCCTTGTGTTCTTCTTCGGAGGTAAATTCTGGGTTATTCCTCTCGGCGCGTCTTCTTCCAGAAACAAAGTAATGAGCTCTTCAAGTTTGTTTACGGATGATGTGGGCGTTTACATGCGCACGCGTCTCACGTGGATGTTTAGAATTTGAAAAGCGCGACCGGTGACGTGGGCGTGATCGCATTAGAGATAATGAGTTTAGACGGGAAAAACTGGACGTTGCGTTGGTTTCATACGGATTACTTTATCAGAGAATATTTGTTTTGGATGTGACTATTTAAAAGTAGACATTTCAAGCTTTATGCATATGTTTCTCATGTCTTTGAGGCAAGCATTCGCTGAGATTCAGGTTGTTTAATTTACGTGTCTGTGAAGAGAGCTGACAGAGACAGAAGAGAGTGCACCCTGTTTATTTTCTTTATTTTACAAAAGAACACTGTTTTGTTGTTATTATGACTATACACAAATAAAGTACACCCTTTGCAGTTTCAAACGATACTTTATTCTTATCTGTACGATCAAAAATTATGGAGTATTTTTAGTTCTTTTCGCGGTCATCAAGAAAATATGAGACAGACCGCACTGGTACATATTCTCAATTTGCAATTTAAATTTTCACAATTTGAATGGTAGGCCTAATGGAAACGCAGCTACAGTTACTGTCAGCGCAGCACATATCTGGATTTATGTTGGCTCAACACTTCAATACACAACAGATAAAAAAGATACTCAAAATATAATGCTAAAAATAAAGCTTTTGTTTTATCTATCTATCTATCTATCTATCTATCTATCTATCTATCTATCTATCTATCTGTGTTCCCAATGGTATTTTTTGGTGTCCAAAATTGCCAGCCTTTTACAAATTGCTTGTAAATATCTCATTATGTTAGTATTATCACCAAATCTTTGTTTCAGTCTTTCTTCTCAACTTTTCTTTCAATTAACCCAGGTTTTGTATTTCTTTTTGGAACTGATTGATCATAGGTCTCATTGATCTGAGCTTATACACCTCAGTTTTTGAGTAAAAAGCATTATTTTGTGGATAATTTTGGCAATATTCACTGAAAAACTGACGTGAATAAGCTCAGAACATAATATAGAACGTAATTTTTTTGTATTCCTGACATTTTTTGACCAGGAACACCACAAGCGTAACAAGTTAGGGGGAAAGAAATACAAAAAATATTTTTAAAAAACTGCTTTGGGAAGTTGTTCCCTGTGTGTCAGTAGGTTTTAGTCCAACACGTTAATATTAAAAGGATAGTTTACCCAAAAATGAAAATGCTGTCATTAATTACTCACCCTCATGTCATTACTTGCATTCATTCGTGCATCGTGGTACTCTTGTGAACATGTCAAAGACTGACACGGAAGAGAAGAAATTGTTGAAAAAAGTTATTTTTGTTTTCTTTACGCATGAAAAGTGTTCTCGTAGCTTCATAAATTAAGGGTCAAACCACTTATGTCACATGGACTATTTTAACAATGCCCTTACCACCTTTCTGGGCCTTGAATGTGTCAGTTTTTTTATTGCTGTCTATGTAGGGTCAGAAAGCTCTCGGATTTAATCAAAAATATCTTAATTTGTGTTCCGAAGATACACATAGGATAAACAAAGGTCTAAAGGGTTTGGAACGACATGAGGGTGAGTAATTAATGACATACTTTTCTTTTTTTTGCGTGAACTATCCCTTTAACTAGCATTTTCAGAAAAAAGAAAATCCTTTCTTGGTCAAAATGACTGGAAACCAGCATGAGGTCCTCAACTAAAGCGATAAACACTTTTGGTGTCAAGTCAATGGGTCTACAGGGTGCAATCAATGGCCCAATGTCAGTCAGTGACTGTTATTTTAGTCTGCTGCCTCAGATCTATATTTAAACAGCCTTTTCACTAGATATTACACTTCCAGTAGCAGCACACCTCGTGTCCGTCTTGATTATTTGCACGGTAAATATTCAGATAGTACCTTCCCACATCAAACCGAGCGCTCCAGCAGCATTACAAGCTATCACTGCAGCAGAACAACGCAACACTTGCGTGTCCCGTCTGCCATGAATGTAAATTCATTCCTCCCGAAGCATCACACGGTGTTATATTGCAGGCAATCCTTATTCATGAAGGCGCTCAAGTTTACAATCAACACTTTATGAAGCATCTATTGCTACGCAGGGAATGACTTACGGTGGCCCTCCAGTTGCCCGGCCTCACGGGACTGACATGCAGCAGCACGTTCAGATCCAAAGACTTCAACGAGAGAGAGAAAAGGAGCCAGAGGAGAAGTGAGGGAGGGAGGGAAAAAAAGACGAAAAAGCTCCCTCTTCACCACAGGACTGCTCTTACTGAGATAAGCGCGAGGAGTCATCGGGTGAACCATCACCTAGACCGCGAGCAGGACCTGAGCGAGAGGATGGAGAGAAAACAGATGAAAGGAAGGAAATATGGCTGGAATAAATGAGGGAGGCTGGCATGAGGGAAGCAATGGTGCCCATGATTGAAGTCCATGTATATCAATATCTCTTATTTCCTCCACTGAGACTGCACTGGAGAGATTGTAAAGAACTAAAAAGAGCCACAGAACAAAGATGGGTTCCCTGGCTGAGGAACAAAGAGGCAGCAGAGCCCGGCTTATTTCATGTCATTTTCATAGGCTTCTTGACATGCCTTCAATCAGGCAAGGGCAGGGAGAGAAACACATCCACACCATGAGCAGCGTTCAAAAGCCTGTGGAATTTGAGATGTATGGAAGAAGTTGAATTGAGACCCTCATGGTGGCTGCCACCCTCTACAGTGACTTTCTCCTTTACTCTTAAAAGTGTGTTTTGGGCAAGATAGAGATGTTAAGAAAGCGGTCCAAACACACACATACATGCATACTTACACATGCTGCTTCAGATTTCTTCTGTCGGTGTGGGCCAAGTGTGTAAGACACCCCTGTGGGCTTTCAAATCATCCAAAGTAGAAAGAAAAGGACTTCAAACCACTTACTGGGGAAGATTTTAAAATTTTCTGAAGCAAATGTGAGTGTTGCTTGCCTGTGTGAGATTCTTGGGGGCTGTGGGTGGCTGCCAGGTTCCTAGGTGTTCTGGGTAGTTTCTTCTCATTTTGCATACTTATGCACTGTTCTATGGCATTTTGTAGTATGGGAAGTATTAGCTGATTTTGACTAAAACCAATTATTATGTTCATGTTCATGACAGACAACCGATAAAAGGCGGATCGTATTTTGTCTAAATGAATTAAAAATAAATCACTAAAAAATCATTTGAAATGCTACAAATGAAATTTGAGCATCACAACAGTGTAATGTACAGGAAAAATTCATTTTTATATTGTAATTTGCTAAAGACTAAAGACAATTTACAGTATTACTGAATTATTAGTGTTTTTAAATATTACTTTAAATCAGCGTGAGATGACTGGAAAGTAATCAGAATGTAATAATATATGGGAAATGAGCATTCACAATTAAATATCCAAAATAAACTGCCCTAGTAAAAAAGAAAATACATTTATTTCATACTAAGTATAGTTCAAATCTATTCATATATTTATTGACGTATCACTCAAGACTTACTGATATAAAAATTATAATTAAACTTTATTTGGAGAACTACTTGTGCACAATGCACATTTCTTAATATTAATGTCTTTTAATGTCACTATTGATGATGATTGTATGAACTTTTAATAATATCGGTCTTTAAATGCAAGATATTTAAAGTGCACCTAAAGTATACTTGCAATAGTTCCACTTTATCACAATTCAAATATACTTCAGTACTGTATATCTTTAGTTGGACTTCAGTACTATTTCCGCACAATTAAGGTGCATTAAGCATAAAAACTATACCAGTTTAGTATGTGATGGAAATGTTTTATGTAATAACCTCAGAAGGACTGAAAAGAGTATATTCAACATAGAATGTTCAGAAAAGTGCAGACTAATGATGCTCAGATCAAAGATCATGTATCCAATGATTAAAGAATCTATACTTACCCAAAAAGTGCTCAAAACAGTAGAACTAACAGTCATATGACAAACCAATCATCAGATCAGTACAACCAATCACCAGTGAAGAAGACGTGAGTGACATTGATTTTTACTCAACTACAAGGTATAAATGTACATGTATCTTTCTGTTCAGAGAGTCTCTCTTGGTTGTTGTGACCATTGGGCTCCCGGCCGTGAATAAACTCGGAGTTAGTATTAAAGATCCTGTGTCGGACCAGCGTACAGCTGAGAATGGCGGTGAGAGTGCATAGATGTTAAAGACCTGTGTGCTCATGTGTGATTGAGGTAGTGATAGTAGCTTCTTGACGGGACGCCGTCACCATATTTCAAGGAAGTACTGGATTGTATTGTAAGTATTCAGGGAATTCAGGGAATTAGCTCGAGATACTGGTTATTATATTAATAACTGGTAGTTGTTTAAATTGTCTGTGGTGAAGTTAGATTAGCATTGGGAATTTCCACGACAAGTTCCAAAAGTAAACTGCAGGGTATTTTTATTAAGCACATAAAAATGTATTTGTAGTATTCTTAGTACGAAATAAATGTATTTCAAATACATTTTAGTATATTTATTTTTCACTAGGGCAATACAAATAAATAAATACAAAAATCTTTAATATCAGGAAATAACCAATATGATGCCAATACAAGTAGTGATAGTAGTATGTTCACACTGGAAAACACAAAGACACTACAAGCGCTCAAATTATATACTTGTTTAAAATTCTTCAACTTAAGTATAACTGAATTTGCTGTACATCATTAACATAAATAATATTAAACTGACTGAAAAAATAGCTGAATCTTATGTAATATTAAAAAAATTAAATTGTAATTGATCTTTGGTTCCAAGAAGAACCTTTAACATCCATGGAATCTTTCCATTTCACAAAAGGTTCTTTATAGTGAAAAAAAAAAAACTTCTTTTGATTTTTTACATGTTCTTTACACTTAACAAAACGGTTCTTTTAGGAACTGTTTACTGAAAGGTTCTTTGGGGAAATCAAACTTCTTTTATGTCATCACTGTTAAAAAACCCTGTTGGAAACATTATTTTGAAGAGTGTAATGCAAAAAACATATGCTGCCATGACTTAGTGATGCTATCATTTTTTACAGATGGCAGAATACAGTGTGTAGCATAAGAACATCATTTTTGAGATGCAACTTGAGTCTCAATGACATTTTGATCACTAGATATGGCCCTGGTTTTAGCCTGTTTGTCCACCAGACAAAACCCAACTAATACCCTACTTTTCCTCAACAAGCGACACAGTTTTAGTCTGTGTGAGACAAGTTACACTTGTTCAAAACTGTAGCCCAAAGTACAAGCAACAGTAAAAAGTAGAGCCCGACCGATATATCGTTTTGCCGATATTATCGGCCGATATGAGCCTGTTGCCGATATATCGGTAAACTTTTGACTGGTACTGTACTATAATATACACAAAGAATATCGGCCGATATATCGATATCGGCCTTTTTTTTTTACTCCCTAATATCGGTATCGGTCCTAAAAAAACCCATATCGGTCGGGCTCTAGTAAAAAGTTTCTTCCCAATTAAAATTTTAACATGACCCTGACTAAATGGTGTGTTAAGGGCATTTAAAGTGCATTTTCACAAGCGCACAAATAAATAAACGGACGCTGCACCCTTGAAATGAGCCTCAACGTTCAAATCACAGTTTTAATATTCACAATGCGTGGAAAAATAAAGACTTTTTTAGCCAATTAAAAAGTGGTTCAATTGCTTTTGGTAAGCCTGTTTGTCTTGGCTCATTAATTGCTTGACTTGGCATAGATTTTGATCTGAATTTCACAGCATGTGCAGACAGAGTGGAACTGTGTCACAAGACAAGGGATAGGAATAAAGAGCACAACAGCACTGAAAAACAGAAGAGAGAAAGAGCGCAAGAGTGAGCAAGTCCTCTGGTACCATTCCCAGAGGAAAGCTAAAGCGAATGGCTCTCGCTTTCATCAATAGTCTTGCTCTCTCTTTCTCTCCTTCTATGGCCTCTCGCCATTGCTGATAACATCTGTCAATAACAGACACTCGACATTGAGTCACAACCATTATGACATCAATCACTTACTATGACATCATCCATCAGCTCCACTCCAGAGTGCCTGGCCTTGCCAGCGATGCTTTTATTAAGCACGACATTCTGTGTTTCTTCAAGGAGGAGCGAGGCTGGTCGTGTTTTTGTATGTATTCCCTCCAGTGCAGAACAAATTCTAACGTGAATGCAGAGAAACAAAGAAACAAACACACAGCTGGAGTGGAGCCTTCATTAAGGGGCTGATGATGTATGCTGGTGCAGCTGTAGACTCTGGCTCATAACAGGAATCCATACACAAAGTCATTAGGAGAGCTCCCTACGCTCTCCCGCCCAATACAACGCCAGCCATTTCACTAGTTACTCATAACTGGCTTTTACAATTTCTGAAGACTGAGTGAGAGGTGCAAAAGCCACCACTGCAGTAGAAGTGTGAATCTTCACTTGCCTCACAATTCGATCTGATTACTATTCAGATGGTAATATTTGGATTGTAAAATGATTAATCACAAAAGCTACAAAAGTGAATCAGTCAAGATAACTGAGTGATTCCCTCTTTTCTTTTGTTGTTTTCTAAACAATAATGGCACAGTCAGCAGCAGGTTTACTATATTAAAACCTAATGCACGGATCTAATATACTGTTACACATTAGATTTTTCCCACCACTGAATGGAAGCAGTTTGCAATGTTTAAAAGATAAAATGTGTATGTGTAGTATTAACACGATATCAAGAGCACATCTGCGCTCACGGCGACTCGAGTTCGATTCCCGTCTTGACGTCACTTGCCGTTCCCGCTCCCGTTCCTCTCTCTTCACCCAATGCTTTCCTGTCTGATCTTTACTATCCTGTCAAAGACATAAAAAGGTCCAAAAATATAACTTTAAAAAAATAATAATAATATCATGACTAATCCAACATCAGTAACTGGCCGACACTTTTCTACTTTAATGTTGGTTAACGCTGGTCATAAAAAGGAAAAAAAAAGATGTAGCATGTAGCTACTACAGTCGTATATAAAATCATGAAAAAATTCATGATTTTATATACGGCTCGGTCGCCAGAGCCGTCGGCTCCACCATGGCCCTCCGATCCCTCAGTGTCACCCTGGCTCTCCGTCTTCGCCTTGGGCCCCCCGTCCACCGGATCAGTTTCTGTCAGTCGGACCCCTGAGACCTCCTGTTTCACTCCCCTCATGGTTCCTCCCTCCATCAACTCCACCGTGGACTGAGAATTGTTCTCGTAATACTGTTTGGAGCGTCTGGAATCCACTCTTAGTGGGGGGGCTCTGTCATGATAAGGGG